CAGAGCAACTAGTATATATGTATGCAGAATACATACCTTAATATATATCCACCTTTTTCTAAGCTGTTCTCTTTCAGTGATTGAAACTTGCCTTAAATTAGTTTTTGAAAACTTGGCTTTCAGATATCCGGTTTTGTGCCCGATACAATACTCCCTTCTTGCACAAATATCCATAGAATGCATGGAACAAGCAACCTCTGAATGTCATTCTGACATAACCACAATGCAAATTTATTGTCTTTGGCTGGCATCTGATTAGCTCATGCAAAGGGCTCACACTGGTTTCGTAGACTCCAAGTTCTGTGGCATCAGGCAAAGGATTGTAGCATGGTGATAGAACACATTTGGATTCTGGGTCAAGTCCCTGGCATATCCAGGAAAGGCTGGGAAAATCCCTTCCCTGAAATCTTGCAGAGCTGCTACAAGTCAGTATTGGAAAACAATACAGGTATACCTCAGTTAACTAGCCTCTGTCAAAGAAACTCCTCTTTTTCTTCTTCTTCTCATCTGCCTTTTATTTCTCATCCTCTTTAAAAGCATCTACAGTGGAAGGATGGTGAAGTATGGCTGGATAAAAATAAGACTTAATGTATCAAGTTGCAAGTCTGCAGTTAACAAAAAGCTTATGCAGAGAAACAGAGATTCCACTCCAGCTGATCCTACTGTTGCTCTGCCTGCCTAGATGAGGCAGCTAAGTCTAGAATCCCACACTGAATCCCACACTGAGCATGCATGAACAGTAAAACAGAGGAGAATCAGATAAGCCTGCCTCACTAGCTATCACCAGCAGGTTAAAAAAGTATAGATCTGTAAGTTTGGCCCCCAAAGTAGAAATCATAAGGAAAGTGGGGGATGATGAAAGGAAAAGTCATCTCTTGGTGTATTTCAAAATAAGCCTTCAAGTAGTTCAAAATATTTCATGGTACCAGAAGTTTAAATATATTTACTTATGGAAGGTTTACCTACCTGGTTGTTTCAATTCATATGTTAATTTGGACTTAAAAGTTTGCTGAACCTTGTTTGATTACTTTTCTCTGTTGTGGTGTAGGAAGCTATCCTGATTCTTTCCTTCTTATTTCTGCCTCTGGTACCAAATTTTCTGTTAAAGAAGTAATATCCAGGAACACATACATTTCGTTAAGTGAGGTATACCTATACTGACTGAGGTTGTTGCCACACTGCAGAATTAATGCAGTTTGATGCCACTTTAACTGTCATGATGCCATCCTATGGAATCCTGGGATTTTTAGTTTGTTGTGGCATCAGAGCTCTCTGACAGAGAGGGCTAAATATCTCACAAATCCAAGGATTCTATTGCACTGAGCCGTGGCAGTTAAAGCAGTGTCAAACTGTATTAATTCTGCAGTGTAGATGCAGCCTGAGATGTTCATTTGGTCTGGTTTGACACAAAGCAGCTTCCTGTGTTTCACTGAGTACTACATATTGGGCAACAATACAAGATATAGATGATTATTCCCTTGTGTGAGTTTATGTCATCCCATAAACCTAAATCCATGGAAGGAGCATTTATTCTAGCAAGCTTTTCCATATGCTTTTTGTTTTGTTTTATTTTTATGAGCACAAGGAGGAATTTGTGGCACTGTGCCATAATTTAGAGATCAGTTTTATTGTAGCAATAATCCATTCTCTTTTTGTAAATTCTTTTCATTTTGTAAACCATGTTCCCATGAGAGAGATTACTCTTGTAACCATAATGTAGAATTGCAGTTATTGGCAGCTGTTACAAACAATTATAATCAATTCTAGTCCCTCAGGACATTATCCCAACATCCCAAACTAATCAGGGCTTGGGGATATACTTCTGGAACAATTCCTAAAACTGGTCTATAATCTTGGATCAAAACCCAACAATTCTGGGATATCCAAGAACATTATATAATGCTCTGATCTGTTGTGATATTCATTGCGATATTCCTGGGCAAAGGTTGTGTCTGTTTAAGATTTTAAGGTGAGATGTGTTAAATATTTGAAATGATGGACAGAACATGAGAGTTTATCAAAGCATAAATAATTTTTTCTAACCTATCAGTATTTTGGGCATGCCAATGCAGGGCCAGTTTCCTTCTGGGAGGAAACACTGGGATTTCCAGCCACATTCCAAAGAAAACTCTCAATACTTTGACTTGATGAGGAGAAGATGGGTGCATATTGCTTCTTCCATACAAGAGTTCTCCCCTACAAATCTCCCTATCCATTTTTTTAAAAAAAACCCTAGTAAGGTTCTAGAACTAAGCCTAGCTTTGGAAAAATGATACCTAAAGGCACTGGAAGTAGTTAAATATTCTCCCCTGCCCTCTATGAATTCTCTCCTCATATTCTTTTTCTGCAGCATCTTTTCTGCAAATTCAATCTTGGGGATTTGCAGTTCTGTGCACAGGACCATCTTACACCACACTGTTATAGTGCTATATTACACTTTAATTGCCACAGCAACATCATATGGGATTCAGGGATTTGTAGTTTAGGGAGGGCTACTTAGAATTCTTAGCTAGAGTTCTCCTGGGCCTCACTGACCTGCAAACTTCAGAATTCCACAGAATGTGCCATGGCAGTTAAAGTAGGATTCAGTGCTATAACAAGGTAATGTGATAGCGACCTCAATCTGTCCCTGCCTGGTTGCAGTGCTCCTAAGCACCTCATTATATAATTATTTTCTCAATATACAAAAAGAATGTATATTTGATAAACTAGCTAATTATTTTTCCACACTGAGTTCAAGTTACTTCAAAGCTTAACTAAAATTATTTTTTTGGCCCGGAATCTCAATTGGTAGTCTCACTTAGTATGGACTGACTCATTTGGTGAATGATAAATCAACACATAAATCTCATTGATCTTTTTTTGGGCCAGGAATAGGATTTTTGCCAATAACACCTTTGGAATCTCCTAGACAGCATAATCAGTAGCCATATTGGCTGAGCAATTCTGGGAGCTGTAGTCTAACAAAGCAGCTTTCCCAAATTCAGCTATCTGCAAATGTTGCTCAAGAAAATTCTCTACTAAATTATAGCTCCCAGGATTATTTGGAGGAAACCATCACAGTTAAAGTGGTTTACTAGCAAGGTGATTTGCTTGTATACATATACATACCTTAGTATGAAAACTGTAACTTACCCTCCTGCTAAGAGATTTTGGCCACTCAGCTTCATGCAGCCTCTCTAAACTGATGTGTTGTATTCCTGATGCATTGCTCCACTTGGCCATGGCTAGGTACATATAGCAGTACAATACCTTTGGAGATCTCCAGGTTGGGAAAGTCCATTAGAGAAACCTAAATATAGCATTCTAATACATGTATATGGAATAATGGACTAAGCCAGCTCCGATGAGTTTCCCTGTAAAAACAAAAACAAAAACTATTATTGTTGATTAGTAAAGCATCACAGAATGTCTCCTAAGAATTGTGGGCAGCAGTAAGATAGGTTCTAATGTATCTTTTTTGTGTTCAGAGGGGCCAATAATAAATTATTATTGCAGACACAACCACAGTAGCTGGACTGACTTCCACTCATCATCCTACTCTTCAGAAACATGGAAATTGATGTTTTGTGGGAGGGAGCTCCACTGCATAAAACGTAGGTTTGGAAACTATTAGTTGTCATGTGATCGGAAGAGACTTCCCACTTGAACAATTACCACAAAAGTGAATTGTGATGCTCTGAGATAGACCTATGACATCATAAGTCATGAAGAGGATGCCATCCATATCCTGTTTTGTCAATAGAATTACAAGCTTAAGGCATAGTATACAGGAACTATAAATGACTTTGTAACAATGATAAAATTAGTGGTTGACAACACTTTACCTTCCTGACCTCACATACATATGTTAGTCATTTGTGGCATATTGGTGGACTAACAGAAGGGTGATGGGAAAGGACAAACATTGCCACTTCATTGAACTTTCTCTACTTACTATAGTGGCCATGTGTATTACTTCACAGAAGGTAGCCATCTATCTGTTGGGCTGTTGGGCTGTTCTAGGAAGATGTCCTCTGTCCAATCATGTAAGATTATCGCACGGTACTTACAAGAACAGGAACTGAATGGAATTGAAGGGAACGGAATAGAACAGAATGGAGCAAAAATGCATTTTACTGCACGGGAGAATGCCACTGATGCCGCCGGGAGTCCCCAAGGTGTTCCCCGGAAGTTCCTGGCAGCCAATTTTTGAAGGACGGTTCAAAATCGTCCTTCAAAAATTGGCTGCTAGGAATGGCTGGGGAACACCTTGGGGACTCCTGGCGGCATCGGTGGCATTCTCCCATGCAATAAAATGCATTTTTGCTCCATTCCGTTCCCTTCCCTTCCGTTCCGTTCCCATTCCTTAAGTGCCGTGCAATAAGCTTAATGGTCTGGTTTAAAGAGAAAGAACTACAGCCAGGCACACAAGTCATCTGATCACAATCTTCTCTATTATGATAAGAAATACTGTTATTCTATGTAAATTGCAATAAACACTTCTACATTTCAATTTATGTAAATAAACCATTATATGCAAATTTGTGTTTTCTTTTCTTCTTTAGTAATCTGTTTTGCTTCCTCTCTGTAAATGACTGTCTGTATATATCTTATTTACTTACACATTTCTATGTAATTTTTGCTAACCTTCTGACCAGACAAGAAGCTATTTAGAAGCATCATTTAGAGCAGAAGAAATTAGGGCCTTGTTTTTAAAGCCAGAGTTTTGCAAGCTGTTTTTCCTTCATTCCACATTCCATTTTAATTATTTTAAATTTATATCCCAAATCTTCAGTAGAATTGCTCTTAGCAGAGGAAACAACCAGGTAGAGATGCATCAAGCACATCTAGATTGGCAGAAGCTGCTTCTTCTTGTTGTTGTGTACCTTCAAGGCACCTCTGACTTATGGCAACCCTAAGGAGAACTCAGAGGGCTTTCTTGGCAAGATTTGTTCAGATGGGGTTTGCCTCTGCCTTCCTTAGGAGCTGAAAGAATGTGACTGAAATAAGGGTTTCCATGGCTGAATAGAGATTTGAACCCTGGTCTCTAGGGTTCTAGTCCAACACACAAACCATTATACCACGCTGGCTCTCAACACTCAAGAGCTACTACTATCAATAGAAAAATACTGTGCATTGATTCTACCTTTGTCCTCTTAATACATTTTTTTGGCAGAAAAAAAAGGTGGGAAGCATGGGAAAGTTACAAATAGAAGGCAGTGTCATCTAGACCTTGTGTAAAATCCTATGAATGAGGTAGGGTGATTGCTAGATATATGGTTTTTTGGAAGCACCTCAATTTTAAAATGACGATCAAGAGAATAAAAAAGCACAGAAGCAATGTAACAGACATTAAGAAAATATCAGAAACTTAGGCTGTCATCCTATACACACTCTCATTTGAAAATATGTTCCACTTAAATCAGTGGATCTTGTTTGTGAGCAGACATACATATGTTTGCACTGTTATAGTGGCTGAAAAGATCTAAAAAGATATAAAAGCCTGGTATAATAGAAAGTTAATGGTATATATTCTCTATTATTCCATAGGTTCAGCATGGTGTAGTAGTTTGAACATTGGAGTAGGGCTCTGGGGGATCACAGTTCAAATCTCTGATCAGCCATGGAAACCCACTGGGAGACCCTAGGGAAGTCACATTCTCTCAACCTAAGAGGAAGGCAATGCAAACCTTCTCTGAATACATTTTCAAAAAAGCAACAACCAAAAAACCATACAACAACCCTGTGATAAAGTTGCCATTATTCAATTAACATAGCATCAAGTGTTTCAGAAAGGCTCTTAGCAGTGCACACATCAAAATATTCCCTGCCCTCAGTTTTACTATCTTAACAGATACAACACAAAAGGGGGAAAATGGGAAGGAGAAGGAGAAGAGAGCAACAGCACTCAGGCACTGATTCTTATTTTTACTATTCTGTTAATGATAAGCTGTAATGGAAACAGACTTCTGAAAAAGATTTCATCCTGAAGACCCTACTTCCCTTGACATGGGTGAAAATGTTAAGTGAATATCTTATACCATGTAATCTTGGTCTTCTGGAGGCCAGATGGAATGGGCCATCTTCTTGCCATCACTATAGGTAAGGCTCAGAGAGCCCTGATGATACCACCACCTGAGAGCAGATGGCCCTGATATTCTTCCTTACTTAATACTCATAGAATCATCTTTGGAAGAGACCACAAAGGTCATCCAGTCCAACCATGCAGAAATACACAATCAAAGCATTCCTGGCATATGGCCATCCAGCTTCTGTTTAAAAATCTCCAAAGAAGAAGACTCCACCACTCTTCGAGGCAGTGTGTTCCATTGTCAAACAATTCTTATCATCAGGAATTTCTTTCTAATATTTAAACAGAATCTCTTTTTTCTGTAGTTTGATTCCATTGGTTTTGATAACCCCATTGTGCAGAAAGATTTGGACTAGTTCAACTACTACCCGCAGTGAATGAGAATGGTCATTCTTTTCTATCTGTTGTTGCTTCTTTCCTTCACAAGGAAAATAGAACTGATTGCTTCTGGCTATACCATGCTGCAAGGATGAGCTGTTGGCTGAGAAGCTCAAATCTGCATATAAAATACATGGGAATATGTGCACAAATAGGGCCTAAATACCCTAACGGCACCAGATCCTGTCTGAACTTGGAAGCTAAGCAGGTTCAGCTCTGATTAATACTTAGATGGGAGACTGTCATGGTGCTGTAGGCTATACTTCGCAGGAAGGGGCTGGCAAAACCACCTCTGAGTATGCCTTGTCTATGAAAACTGCATGATTTTCATTGCCATTACAGATGAGTTGAAGGCACATCCACACAGAACATTATCACATGGGGAGCCCCAAACAGAAGC